TGTGTGTGTGTGTGTGTGTGTGTGTGTGTGTGTGTGTGTGTGTGTGTCTATATAATGAGTGTATGTTTGGCTAGGTGTGTGTGCTCATCCCTGTGGGAGGTAGAGGTTTATGTCAGGTGTTGTCCTCAGCCTTGCTCTGCCTTATGGTTTGGAAGTGGTTCTCTCACTGAACCACTTGCCTTTGGCTACATTGGCTTCCGGTGAGCTCCAGGAATCCACTTGCCACGCTCGCTACCCACCGCCACCACCAATCAAGCCCTCAAGCTTGTGCAGAATCCAAGTTTGCTTCTCTGTTGCTGGGATAAAAGCACAAAAATAGGACTTGAGGAGGAAAAGGTTTATCACATCTTACACATTGGGGATCACCATGAAGGGAGTCAGGGCAGGAACTAAAGACAGAACCTGGGGCAGGGACTGAAGCAGAACCCATGGAGGGTGCTGCTTCCTGGCTTGCTCCCCATGGCTCCCCATGGCTTCCTAAGCCTGCTTTCTTATAGAACCCAGGACCACCAGCCCAGGGATGGCACCACCCACAATGGGCTGGGCACTCCCCCATCAGTAATTAATGAAGAAAATGCCCCCATGGACATGCCCACCAGCTAATCTGATGAGGTGATTTCTCCAGTGAGGTTCCCTCTTCCCAGGTGACATTGTGTCAAGGTGACAAAAACTAACCAGCACGTGCAATAAGCACTTTACCTATGGTGCCATCTCCCCAGCCCCTTCTGTTGCTTCTTTCTGTAACAGGCCTGGTAGGAGAAAGGAGAATATTCAGGGCAGTGGATCTCAACCTGTGGGTCATGATCCCTCAAATGACCCTTTCACAAGGGTCAACTATGACCATTGGAAAGCACAGATATTCATATTATGATTCATAACAGTAGCAAAATTACAGTGGTGAAGTAACAACAAAAGTAGTTCTATGGTTGGGGTCACCACAGCCTGAGGAACTGTATTAAAGGGTCACAGCATTAGGAAGGTTAAGAACCATTGCTTTAGACCAAAAGAGCTATGATTACCACTCCCAAAACCCCAGGAATGGTCTTGTCCCAGCTTACTAGTGGGTGAAAGGATAGCGGGGATTTTTCCTAGAGGTCATGGGGTTAGCTGTCATCTGGAAGATTTCCTTTCTAGGACCAGACCTTAAACCCCACTGTGGGAAACGTTACTTGAGAGACCAGGAGCCTTCTTTCTTATGTGACTGAGATGGGTAAGTTTACCTCCTGACTTTGAACCTAGGCAACGCCAGCCTGGTTGCCAGCCCTCTTCAGTTTCTCACCAAATGTGAATCATTTTCAGACATCGCAAACTTGGTGTTTATACCTGCTCCAATGGAGATGCATCAGCTGCATAATGGCTTACCACAGACTTTGCTAATATAAAAGTCACTCCAAAGACCAGAATTAGAAAAGATCAGATGTTTGGGGTTTTTTTTGTTTTTTTTTTTTTTTTTTTTTTTATTGACCTTACCAGGGGTCTGAGAAATGGGACCATCCCAGACTAGAAAGAAAAACAACTGGACCTTGAATAAGGGCCAGCTAAGAAAGAAGAATAGTCAGACAATTAGGGCTACTAAGCCTTGAGTAGAGGCCAGACCAGATGGCCCTCCTCAGAAGACAGGATGAGCTTATTTTAAGATAAGAAACCTGGGGCAGGGAGGACTGCCCTTGGAAGAAGCTGTAAGCTACCAGCTGCAAAACTGCTATCTTTTCTGCTGACTAGTCAATGTAACGATACATGTGTGGCCTGATTTTTAGGTATAAAAACTCTGTGCTTTGTATGCTTGGGGTCGTCTCCTGCCTTGAAGGGGCAACCCCCATCGCTATCGGAATAAACTGCCTCCTCTTGCTTTTGCATCGCGGTCTGTGAGTCTCTTTGGGGAGGGAGCGGTACGGAGTTCCTGCATCGGGAGTGCAGGTTTTGCAGGTCATGTAACTGAGTATCTGTTGAAATTTGCTGCAGGCACATGAATTTAGGAAACCAGTGAGTCAAACGATCATGGTTGAGCAAGTATGCATGTAGGCTTGCACAGACCTGCACACACACAAGCTCACGCACAGGCTCGCGCACACACACAGCATAGATTTGAAAGTAACTCAGCCCTACCATGCAGCGCTCCAAGTACTAGATATTTCTTAGTTGCCTCAGACTCTCCCTAGGGTTCCATCCTCCACAACTCTGATAAGAGCCTGCTCTCCTTAAGCGTGCCTCAGACTCAGTGTCCCTGACTGTCTGGCTCCATCTTTCTAGTGGGCCAACTTCCCACTCACTTGCAGTCTCACAGTGTATCTGAGAATTTTCTGTAACAGTTTGAAGACAGGAAAAAAACAAAACAAAAAAACAAAAAAAAAAAACTCTTCAAAGATAACATTTGAAAAATACTACTAAGACTTAAATACCAAATCTTGTGTGAGTATGCATTTGTGCCTACACACGCGTGCACGCACGCACACACACAAGAGCACACACACAAGAGCACACACACAATCAGAGTATGAGTTGGTGCCTGCTAGCACCATGCCAGGAGCAGGAAGCGGCCTCCATTTCCGCAATTCTGTGGTCAGGCTCCAGGCTTGATGTCTTTGGAAATACAGATGGCTGGCCGATAAAAGGAAGCATGAGGTGGCTGCCAATCCCACATTGCTTTTTCCAGGAAGATCTAAAAAGAGCCGGGATGGGGGATGGGGCCAGGCCAGTCATAGGAGAGTCATGATAAATTCCAGTATTGCTTAATTGGGGTACTGCCAAGCTCTGCTCCCACTGCCATTTAGGCTTCTAGCCTGGGGTGGTGTTTCTTTCTGGGCCTTGTGGGATGCTAGCCACTGTTAAGTAGGGAGGTAGCAGTGAGGACCTGGGATCAGGACGCTTCTTCCATCACCATCCATCCAAGCACACTCAACCTGGTGAAGAGTGACTGTGCTGTGAAGAAAAGAGGCCATCTGTGGCTTCATCCTCCCTCCTGGAGAGGCAGTGGGCTTCCACCTAAGACAAGTCTCCCCTTAGATTGCTGTTTAGATCTTAAGTATCCTATTGGGGCCAGAGCTTGTTTGGATAAAGGTGCATGCTGGCTTGTGTGTCATTGGTTGAAAGCAGAATGGACTTAAGTCGGGGTGGTTTGGTTGCTTAGCAAGATGGTGCCCACATGGGTTGCCTCTGGTGGCCAGTTGCTTAACTCCATGTCTATCTTGAGGAGAGAATGAGGTTCCCATGACCTTAACGGTCCCAGTTCATGCTTCATTAGCAGGTTAGCTTTCATAAAGGGCATAGTAGCATGTAGTCCTTGCAACTAATCCTATCAAGTATCCAGTTGAAGAAGCAAATTCAGGCATTTCGGGGACTTTCCCCAAGTTCATGAAGCCAGTCCACGTGAGGACTGCAACATGCCTTCCAAACCACTGTCTCCGAGCCTGCTGTTGTAGTTTGCCACAGTGGCCTCTGCCAGGAGGGAAATGCGTCCAGGAAGAAAGATCCTCAAGGGAAGACAGACGCCCAAGGCAGTGTCGAGAGGTTAGTGGAAGAATGTGACTCAGTGGTGTGTGTCGCTGGAGCTCACCGGGAGGCTGTCCAGACTAAGCCATGCCCAAAGGGAAACCGTCCTTCAGTCCCTTAGAAGGGATCGTGTTCCTTTTAACTGACGTGGAAGTCCTGCTGAGGAAATCATCTTGGGGATGAGAGCCATTATTCTACTCCTCTTTTCAGAGAAAGAGGAAATGGAGACCGTGGAAGTCCTCTGCGTGGATAATGTCCAGTGTGAGCTCTGCGCCATGAACGAAGAAGTCACAGCGGCGGGCCGGGGAGGTAGCTCAGTTGTAGAGTTTGTGCTATGCAAGCATGAAGACCCAAGTTCAATCCCTGAAACCTCTGTTTTAATCCCAGAGCTAATGAGGCAGAGGTGGGTACCCTAGGGCTGGCTGGCTAGGCAGCTGGATCACCTGGTAAACCTCAAAGGTGATTGACCCCCTGGGGAGTGACAGGATGTCCTCTGCCCTCCACACACAAGCACCCACACCTATGCACCCTCTGCTCCTCCCTACTCACATCAGTGTATGGGAAGGAATCCCCAAAGACTTTTTGACCTTCTCCTCCCCCACTTCCACCTCCCTCCTTCCCCTTCCTGCTTTCCCCTCCCTCATCTGTCTAGTCTGTCTGTTTGGAATTTTACTTCTCTTAAAGCCCTTGCTGTAGCCATTCTCTTGGCTCTGCCCCTGAGTAGACGACTAAAGATAGACATCACAGTGCATATCTTAAGAGTCTTCCTCAAGTGGGAAGCATACCTTTAAACCAGGTTAACGTAGAATATCATATAGGTCAGGTTTTTTTAAAGATTTGTTAATTTATTATTTTACACAGTATTCTGCCTGCATGTACACCTACATGACGAAGGAGGCACTAGTTCTCACTATAGATGGTTATGAGCTACCACGTGGTTGCTGGGAATTGAACTCAGGACCTTTGGTAGAACAGCCAGTGCTCTTAACCTCTGAGCCACCTCTCCAGCCAATGTATGTCAGTTAATATAAGCTGAAGTTACTGTGGTGTCTTGGCAACACCATGCAGTGTGTGGAACTGTGGTTTTTAAAAACAACCATCCCAAAGGATACATAGGAATTACTTGAAGAAAGTAGTCATTTGGAGAATCGTTAATGGCTTTTTAATTATGTTGTAACTATCTATCTGTGTGTGTATGTGTGTGTGTGTGTGTAATAAAAAGAGTACCTAGAATTTCAATATAAAGAGGTAAACAAAAGCCCTACTGATAAGAACTCAGCTCTGACTTTTAGCTGGGAAAAAAGTCTGCTGAAGGCAATACTAAGACACTGGCATGTCATTTTAGAGGTAGACACACCTCCACTCATTGACTCACATGCTTAGCTAGCATCTGAGTGCTGCCCACTGTACGTCTGCCTGCATGCACTCTTACAGGTGTGAAGAGCAGAACCTGACACAGAAGTTGCTGTCATAGAACTAATGACCGAAATGGAGGCAGAACATACACAGTGAACTAATTCACAGGTTCATTTCAGACCTACCAAGTACATGCTGTGAATGGTAGGTAGCATGAAGCCGGCGGGCAGCAGGAAGCTCTATGCTTTCAGTGGCCAGAGGAGGCATTTCCCTATTGGATTAAAGGAAGATCTAGAGCACTGGTTTTCAACCTGTGGGTTGCCACGCCTTTGAGAGGGTCATATATCAGATTTCCTGCATGTCAGATGTTTATATTACAGTTCATAAAAGGAGCAAAATTACAGTTATGAAGAAGTGAAGTGATATAATATAATAGTTTTGTGGTTGGGGGTCACCACAGCATGAGGAACTGTATTGAAGGGTCGCAGCGTGAGGAAGGCTGAGAACCGCTGGTCTAAGGGCAGTGCAGCCAAAGGACAGGGAACAGAGTTCCGTGTTGTTAAAGAAACAACCATCAGAAAGGCATAGCAGAAACGAAGAAAGCATCCTGGGTTGTCAATGCCCAATCAGGAAGGGCTTCACAGACACTTATGTAAGATGAAGGTAAGCCAGGGGTTAGAGTGGGGGTGGGGAGCTAAGCTGAGGTGTGATGCTCAGGGATTTGTTAGAGGCCACCCAACCAGGATAAAACTTTGGAGGTTTTTCTGATGAAAATGACAAAAGTGACCCAGGAATCGGATGTGTTCTTGGTGAAGGGATCTATTTCTGTGGCTACACAGAGATGCCTTGAGTTCAAGTGTTCCGGAAGGGTCCTCAGCTGCAAGGATTGGCACAGAACCTGCCGAGCCACAGGAAAAGGATGAAGACCTCGCCCCTGAGACTGTGAACTCAGAGGAAATACAGGGAAGTCCTTGGCTTCTGTTCTGAAAGGGAAACTAGAAGAGGAAGGCATGCAAAGCTCTGCTTGGGGCTGGTGGACCATATTGGTTTGCTTATTTGGTCAAGAGCTTATTAGGCACCCGTTATATCTTGGGGTTCCAGCAATGTTACAGCTACCCAACCAAAAATGCCCATTCGTACAGAACTCATCGAATTGTAGGAGAGCCGTAGAAAAGAAAGGCATTGTGCGTCGCTCTGACTGAATGCCTGACAGCAACACAAGAGAGGGGAAGACTTGATTACTTCATGGTTTCAAGATGGTTGCCATCCGTCATAGCAGGGAAGGCAGGGCAGAGTAGCTCAGTTCATTGCAGGAGCGTGTGGTAGCAGCTGTTCACATGGCTGTCACTGAGGAAGCAGAGAGCAGATAGAACTGGGGCCTTGGCAAAGGCTCAGCCCTTGTGACTTATCTCCTGTAGCTAACGGTCCCACATTCTAAACCATCCATAGCCCCCAGAATAGTGCCACCATGACCCGAAGGAGCAGAATAGTCCAGATCTGTACTATAACACAGAGTAAGGGAAAGAATTCTGTTAGGTGGTAGACGATATTCCATGGAGAAAAATAACAAGGTCAGGGGATTGAGGGAGGGAAGCAATTTTTGCAAGGCTATTGGATTACTTTATGGTATTGTGGGAAGAAGCCATTGGAGGGCCTGACAGGGCAGTGGCAAGATCTGACAGAATAACTACACTGATTGCTCTAAAAACAGGGTAAGTGTGGGACAAAGCTGAACAGTTTCAACACCCTTGCCGCCCTGAGCCTAGAGACATTGTCCTGGCAATATTGCCTCTGTCCTTGATTGTTGCGTGGAGGTATATTGAGCCGGTTACCATCATATGGTTAAGAGACGACGGTCCATTGTACTGTGATGGTAGGAAGGTGACAAAAGTGACTGTGATTTGTAATTTATTTTGACGGTAGGGGTAAAAATATTTAGCCTCATGTTGATAGAACATTCAGTTCTTGTTCTACACATTTTTCTACACAGAGGGTGAAGAATTCTAGGCTGCTGGCAAAAAGTATCAAAATATCTGAACAGAATTACAAAGAAACATAGCTAAAAGTAGTTAGAAGGAGAGTAGGACCACAGAAGGAAGCCGCTGATGAGCCAAGCCAGGGGAGGGGGTTCACAGAAGGAAGCCGCTGATGAGCGGAGCGGGGGTGGAGGCTCAGAAGTGAGTCTCAGAGATGAACGGTGTTCTGGGTGTAACACCCCCCTGGACCAGGGTGCTCATGAGAACAGAGAACCATGTTCATCACAAAAGGTCAGAAGTAAAACCAGGATTTCTCTGAAATTGCTGGAGAATCCATCAGGAGTAGAAGTGGAAAAGCAAGCTGAACCTAGGCTGACGTCATGGTGGGGAAAGGCCCTAAGAGACAGGTGTGAGGACAGATGGGTAGCTGAATGGGGCAGTGTAGAAACTCCATCTAGAAAAGTGGGACCAAAGAGGGGAACCGTAAGTATATCTCTTGCCTTTAGAGTAAGAGGAACTGGGGGAGCAGCAGCAGTTGGGGACAGAATCAGAGGGTGCCACCTTGAGTTCACTGGAACATGAACTCAGTCTTTGCTCATCATCTTTCCTTTTGGGGCAGGATGTCAGACTGATAGATGTGGCACTATAATGGGTTGCTTGGCCTTTTAAAGATGCTCATCATTTTGTAGCTCTTTGGCCAAGCAACCCATTATAGTGCCACATCTATCAGTCTGACATCCTGCCCCAAAAGGAAAGATGATGAGCAAAGACTGAGTTCATGTTCCAGTGAACTCAAGGTGGCACTATAATGGGTTGCTTGGCCTTTTAAAGATGCTCATCATTTTGTAGCTCTTTGGCCAAGAGGGACAAACAAAGGGAGTTTAAGGTTGCTTTCTGTGCAGCCTGAGAACTAGCTCAGAGAGTCCCAAGCCACAATGAGACTTTGCCTGGATGAGTGCTTTCTCAAGCACTGCTTACTCGGTTGTAGTTCTGAGTCCCTTAAACATTAATCTCATTGTTCATCCTCCGCTGTGGAGTCCACCTTTACTCTCTTCCAGCTACCAGGTTTCACTCACTTGCCTCCCCACTGAATGTTTGCATTCAGAAGGACACGGAGGGGCTGGAGAGATGGTTCGGTGGCTGAGAACAAAAGCTGCTCTTCAGAGGTCCTGAGTTCAATTCCCAGTGACCACATGGTGTCTCACAACCTTCCATAATGGGGTCCACTGACCTCTTCTGGAGTGCAGGTGTACATGCAGTACTCATATGCATAAAATGCATAGATAATAAACCTTTAAAAGAAAAAGAAATTAAGCCAGGTGTGATAGCACATGCTTTTAATCCTAGTACTCTGGAGAGAGAGACAGGTAGATCTCTGTGAGTTAGAGGCCAGCCTTGTCTACATAGCAAATTCTAGGATAACCAGAGCTATATAGTGAGACCCTGTCTGAAAACAAAACAATCTTTCTCACTGGTTTAGAACAGGAGATTAGAGTTAGCAAGGTAAAATTAATAAGGGCAATGGAATCTTTGTTCATAGTAAGCTAGCCATTGTCCCAATGAACTACAGGAGATCTTTTTTAGATCTTTTTCTTGTGGACTGGGGCCTGTTTTGATGGCAGGGAGGGAGTGGGGGAGGGGTTGTTGTTTGTTTGAATTCATTCACGGTCTCAATCTCTGTCCATAAAGCCTTCACAGGCATATATATACACAGTGCAAATATTTCATTAATCTCTTAAGAACAAGGCCCAAATCAAAAGGATAATTTCATTCTTAATTAGACCAATCTCAAGTGCTTTCATTTAAGTGCCAAACTTTGAGGACACAGATGGACCAGGAAGCCCACAGAGGGTCCTTGCCACAGTCTGGAATGTTTGACTAACAAAAGTGTTGAGTAATTGGTGGTATGAGTAGGAATATATGATCCCCACGGTCCTGTGAAACATAGGTGAAAGATTAGGGAAGAGGAAGGTGAAATAGCTCATTCCGGATGTCCTCAGAGCTCTCCAACATGGAAGGTTGTTTGAGATTTTGTTTTGTTTTTGAGACAGGGTCTCTGTATGTAGCCCTGGCTGTCCTGAAACTCAATATGTAGACCAAGCTAGCCTTGCAGTTACAGAGATCTATCTGCTCCTGCCTGCGGATTGCTGGGATTAAAGGAGTTTGCCACCATGCCTGACCTGCTTAAATTTATCTGAGGGTAATGCCTCTAAGGTAGGGAAAGCCAACAGCAATGCGTTCATTTTGCATCTCATGAATATTCATAAAGGTGTCGACCCAGTGTAAGAATGATCTAAGAGTCTTTCATATGCCCTTTAGTTTTGCTGTCTATAATCTCTGCTCAGTTATATTATTATACAGCCCATGGGAGTAATCTGATGGCTTAAACAGAATTTTCCAAATCTTAGAATTTGGAATAAGGGAATTAGTCCTATGGCCATGTGTTCTTGGTTATAACAGCAGATGCAGACAACCTCATCGTCTTCTTCTTGCTCCTCTAGCCTCTGAAGCCCCCAGCCCCTCCAGGTGAGGAAGAGGGGAGCCGTGGACAAACTGGAAGCATGAATGCAATAGTCTGAATGAGGGTGCTGAAGGACTACACTAGGCCTTGGGAGTGGGCCAGACCAGGAGGAGGCACTTACTTACCTGCCCAGCAGGTCTGAGGTTTCTGTCCTCTGAAAGGCAGGGATGAGTGGCCTTTTATGGCCACAGATGAAGTGGCCAGGGATCAGACACAAGTGTGAGGATGGTAACTTCCCCTATTTGCCCCACCCCCTTCCTCCCTGCAGATTTCAGTGGTTGCCAGGCAATGGGTTTATTCTCTTGACACTCAAAAAGTGTTCTGCCCTCACTTGCCAGAAGTTATCTTTTCCTCATCAAGCGTTTGCTGGCTACCTACTCAGAGTGGTCTCATTTCAGGCTCACTGGCCAGAAGGTTAGCGCCAATGGCCTCCTTCTTTGGCGTGTTTTTTGGTATAGGGGCATTCACTTAATGTGTGACACCTCTGGAAAGTAAGTTAATCTCCCTGACCCTGTTTCCCCATCTGTAAGATGGAGTCTCCAAAAGTGTTTTAGAAACCATACATAACTATCAAGTTTAGTATCTATCCCAGAAAATTATATCTGCTGGAATTATTCTTAGCCCTAAATCTATATAGACTCCCGTATGGTTTCTATTTTTTTAATTCTTGAAAGTTTTTGTGTTTGTTGTTTGGTTTTTGCTGCTGAGATTCAAACCCAGGCATCACTCATGCTGAGTGTGCACTTTCCCGCTAAGCAACACCTCTAGTCCCAAGTATTTATGTTATTAGTCAAGATTTTCTGTTCGTACAGGGAAGTCCACTTACATAATGAACTCCTCTCGGTACCCAGAAAGAATGAGTGGGAGAAAGTGTTGTTGCGTGTTCTCTCAGTACAGTGATTACCCTTGTTTGTCGCTGGAGGAGGAAGGGTTTGTGTTTTACTGAAAACCAACACCAGTGAGAACAGAATAACTCCCTCTTTTCCCAAGGTCATCATATGTGTTCTTATTCATTTTGAAATAGGGTCTCTTGAAGCCTAGGCTGGCTGGGGATACACTACGTTTCCAAGGACGGCCTTACTCTCCCTTTGAACTTCTGTCCCCTCCCGCCTCCCAGCTGGCTGCTGGCACTGCAGCTGTGCTTCAGGGCTTCATGCAATCTCCCTACCAACTGAGCTACCTCCCTAGTCCTTATTTCTATGTTGATTTCTTTGTTCTAAGGGTGAATTAATAAGTCAAAATAGAACATGAAATATTGAAGTTGCTTTGGTATGGGAGTAGCAACTCCAAAGGCAGTGTGTCTGTCTTTCTGAGCTGTGTAACATAGATTTTTGTCCTCTCTGTCCTGAGAGGACGTGACAGCCTGAGCTTAATGGTGGAGTAAGAACAATTTTCTCTCTGCCTTCCCAAGCTGGTTGAGTCTCATAGCTGATCCCTACAGAGTACTGTCCTGTCCTTAAGTCTAGATCTGTTGCCCTCTGCCTCCTTTCCAGTTCCAAACTCCTATGCTGGCTTCTCCAGGCTGGCCATTCCCTGCGTGTGGCTCTTAACCACATCGCCTCTCTAAGACTGTCTTCTCACCCACACAGCATCTTGAATGTCTGCTCATGCTCATTTGAGAGCCATTTTCAGCCCATTTCCTTCCCCTCCTTGAATCCATGCAGTCTCCTCTCAATAGCCAAACTGCTGAGAAAGTTATTGCTTAACTCAGCTCCAGTACAAGCTTGCTGACACTTGCTCTACGAAAGAGTCAAATATGGCTGTATATCAAGATACTGGGAAGATTTAAAAACAGAACACCTGATGCCCAAGTCTCTCCCGGAGACTCTGCTTTCATTGCTCCGTGATGTTGGCTGGGACTCAGGATGTCATAAAGCCCTTGCAGGTGGTTCATTATATAGCCAAAGTTGAGAACCACTCGACATAGTTGGTCCCTAAGCCGGAGCTAGATTCTAATAATAGCTTTATTTGTTCACCCAAGTGGCTCGTGTACCACAGTGTTTAAAATGGTTCATGTGAGTATGTTAAACACCAAAGTGGCTAATTTGATAGGCTTAAGGGAAGGAAATACTATGGTTCCTTTACTGAAAATTTGATTTCTGGGTTCCTCTGGGCTCACATGCAGAAGCCTTTATGAGCACTGAATGCAGCAGTGCTGAGTGTATGCTGCTCTCTGTACACCATTGTTGACTTGCTCGATTGATGAGGGTACTGAGGTCCAGAGAAGACATGCACTTACTCCATGCTAAACTTGAACCTGAGTGGATTTGATGGCAAAAATATCACCCATTCTCTACCCATTTGAAGGTGTGTGCAAATGGTTTCTTGGGCAACAGGGCATACTTGCTTTTCACCTTGAGGATTCATGCTTTAAAACAAAACAAAACAAAAACCCTTAATTTTTAGAATAGCATACTGCGGATGAGTTCCATCATGGCATGTTTATCAGGTGTTGTCATACTTTATTCCTAATGCTTTTTAATTCAGGTTGCACTCTTTTATATATCAAGAGCATCCATTAATTTGATTTTACCTTCACTTTCTAATTGCCTGAAGTATAGGTCTCAGAAGCCATTTGATAAACAGGTTTCTCCATGCATTCTATACCTCTCCTGCCCTATTTGTACTTCTTCCTAGTAACTTTATGACCTTTCTGATTAAGGAAGTCCTGAAGCTCCCAGCACACACTCATTCCGGACTGGTGACTAAGTACTAATATCCACCCATTTTGCAGAAAAGGGAAGTGTTACACCAAAAATTAACTGCTGCTAAACACTAGTAAAAGCTGCCCTTAATTGGGTCCTTAATTAGCAGGGGCAATGCGCTGAGCCCCTTGTACCATGTGGATCATCCTCACCTCATAGATGAGGAAGGCAGAAGCAGAGAAGTAGATCTGCTTTGGCCAAGGGACACAGCTGCTAACTGGCTATGATGTTTGCCTGCTTGTTTTATAACTTGTTTATGGGTAGAATTGGGACTCATGGCTTCATTTGCTGGCAGTGACATCTCGACAGCCATGTCTGGCGTAATCCCGTAAAGCAGATTTCTGTGTGGCGAACGCCCTCTGAGAGCTCTTGTGAAACAGTTTTCTGCCAGCCTTGACTCTCATCCTAAGGTCAGATAGTGCTGCATCATCTACCCACAATCATCCCAATAGAAGATGTTTGATGTAAGCGGCCCCTGAAGGTGAGAGCTGGCTGTGGGAGGAGTTGCACACTCCATTTACCCCTGAGCACCGCCGTTTATCACAATTGCAGACTACAAGAAGAGCCCAGTGGCTGGATCACCTCGCTATCTATCGAAAAGCGGAAAAGGAGAAAAGGCGCTAGGAGCAGAATTCCATCTCCCCTCTCCTTAATGATAAGCTTCTTTCTCCTTTTTAAGAATACAAAGACTTGACATTCCCTGGCTTATCACAGTTCACACACACACACACACTCATTCATACAATTCTGGATGGAGAATGACTATATAAACAAAGAAAGACAATGTGGTGAATGGATGGGATCCCTAGGAAAATGAGGTTCCTAGGAGGCCGTGTCAAGGCAGAGGGTCACTTATTGAGTACAAACCTGTTTTAAAATGTTGTTTATCCCCCTACAGGGCATACAAAACCATTGAGGATGATGACTTGAAGTTTCCCCTTATATATGGAGAAGGCAAGAAGGTAGGCTCAAGTTCTTCCTGGAGTGAGAGGAGGTGCTGTGCTCTGCATAGCCTGTGGCAGGCCGTGTTCTCCACTTAGCAGTTTGGGATTTTATAGCCTTGGCAACTTGAACGAATATCACATCCATCAGTCACCTGTCTGAGGGTCCAGAGAGTGGAAGGCTGTGAGGGGCGTGGGCAAGCACAGAAGATGAAAGTCAGCTTTGTGAAAGTAGCAACCCTTTCCCTGTCTATTTGAGTTATTCTTCACAGGTTTAAACACGACCTCTGCCACATACATCATCTTATTTTATAGCTGACAGGAAGCTCAGAGGCAGGTCAGGCTGGCTGTGTCACCTCTGTTTGGTAAACAAGGCAGCTGGGACTCCAAGATTAGAACAGCCCAGGCAGAACCACACAACAAAGTACAGCACCCAGTGAGGGATGCAGCTTTCTGCTCTCACCCAGTGTTCTTCATCCACCACTGAAATTCTGACGTTACAAACTAGCTTTTCTGCTTGCCCCAACGAAGGGACTCCAGAGCATCATTGCAATTACACTACAGGATCAAGAGCCTGGACTGAGATAGCAGAACCGTCATTGGGTCCGGGTGCCCTAGTCAGAATCAAACGCTGAAAAACACAGCTGAATTCCATTCGGGCTTCTTTTCCCTCGCCCAGGAGGCCCACAACCTGGCTGGTGGCTGGCTGTGGAGAGGGAAAGCAAGGGCAGAATGGCTGGGGGTGAAAGAGACCTCAAGCAGCCATGAGCCATGAGGAAAGACTCTCTGGAGACAGGCTTCAGTGAGACAGCTTGTTTACAGGGAGAACAAAGTCTGCTTAAACATTTAGGGGTGGGTAGGGGCTTTAGGGATGATTGTACATCATTGGCTGGGGCCAGGGTTCTGGGGATGCCTCATTTGCATGAGGACAAATTCCAGGTGCTGCTGGACATGAACTTATAAGGAGAGAGGACGTTTAACTCAGCTATGGGCTATGTGACCTCCTAAAGGGCTCAGGGATAGGGGTGGGAGTAGGGGTGGCGGTGGGGAGGTCCAGGAGTGTGGAGGGGTACAGGGCTATGTGCACTGGGACATGCAGGCTCATGGCAGGGAGGGAGAGGTCCTACTTCTTCGGATCTCAGAATGAGATCCCCAGGGTTTGGACACATCTCAACCCCATTCTTACTCCCGGCCAGCTCCCTCCCCACCCCCCCCCTTCAGCTCCCCGACCCCACAACTGAACTCAAGGAAGACTGTAGCATTGAGATCTGTTAGCTGATTTGGAGGAGGTTGAGAGGCTAGCACAGAGATGACATGAAAGCTCAGAACCTATGCTCAGTTAAACCAGACACCTTTGAATCCTTCTCTTCACACAGCTTACTTCAGTTCAGAGCTAAGAGTTTCAGTTAGAAGCGCACAGTGTGGCCACATGAGCAGGATTGTTTCAAGTGAATGCTTTGTCAGCATTAGATAGTTTTTATCAAGAAGGCATGACTCACAAGAATAGCAACAAGCTCTCCCGATCAGCCCAGGACTGTCTCCCATGCCTTGGTGCATAGTAAGTACCAAGTTCACTGTTCACTTACGGTCACTGGACTCTCCTGGGCAGGAAACTGGACCGCTGTCTTTTTTTAGAAGGTTATCAGCAGTGAGATTGTTGCTTTTATTGCTGTTGTTTACATGTTTTTCTTTTTAAGAATTTCCTACATGTATACAATGAAATAGGATATGGGTCTCTCCCCACCGATTGTCAACACACCCTCTCCTGGCCTCACGCCTTTGATAACCCACTTGAAAGTATCCAGGTAGCCCTGCCCTTATGTTCATGGTGGGAGGCCATCCCCCCCAAGAGCATAAGAGATCTACCACTGGTTACAACTTCAGAAGGGGGTGCTGCTCCCCTCCCATAAGCTCTAATGAGGGGCGGAGCTTGTGCTGGAAGCCACAGCTTCAGCTGAGGTTGAAAGGATTACAGTTAATTGGAAAGTCTGATTCACCAGAGTTTCCTAAAGCATCTCTCTGAGCTCACTGAGGAGGGTGGCCCTGTGGGAAGCAGCTGGCAAGGTCTGCGGTAGCTGTTGCTGTGCAAAGCCACCCTAAGTCTTTCCTCACCCTGGAGGAAGGTGGCACACCATCCCTATCTGAGTTGCCCTGGGTTTCTTGGAGTCCTGAAAGGTTTTTATTTTTTCTTTTCCTCTTTGCAAACTTCTACAGGCATGTCAGTGTGTTTTCACAGTTGCTACTTTCTTCTGAGTGCCCTGTGGGTGACACCTCAATGTGTGGAAACAAGTTCGGTCCCCTCCGATGGCTTTGCTTTCTTTGGTCTGAAACACAGGCTTGTGATTTTCCCAGCCAGACAAGCTGCTGTTGCAAGGAGAAGGCAAAAGGGCCATGGGGGACTTAGAATGTCCCCATTTCAAGCTGACCACTGCTTGGTTAGAACGAGATCTGCCCAGCCCCCCAGCCCAGGAGAGAGGCTCCTGAAGTCTGTCTGGCCACAGGTCCCTGGGCTTCACATCCCAGGTCTATATTTTTATACCCTTTGAATCTGGGCCTTAAATGTGGCACAGGGGCCAGTGAGATGACTCAGTGGATAATGTCACTTACCACCAAGCCTGATGACCTGGGTTTGATCCCTGGGACTCACATGGTGGAAGGGAAGGACTGATTCTTACAGAGTGTCTTCCAATTACACATGACACACACACAGAGAGCATGGTGGCTCAAGTCTGTAATCACAGCTTTCAAAAGACTGAAGCAGGAGGATTGTAGGGAGCTGAAGGCCAGCCTGAGCCTCAGTGTGAAATCCTGTTTCAAGCTGAGTCACAAAAAGTGTCATGGTCTCATTTTGACAGTACTATAGATGCTGTCTGCCTTCTAACTTGAAACTCCCTCAAACCCACAGGGCCTCAGACGGACAAGGATGATGATAGTATGTTGGATTTTGATGTGTTTTTCTTTTGTTTTTTACTTTTATTCATGAGCCGCAATGCTTGTGTGGAAGTCAGGGACAACTTTTGGGGCTCAGATCTTTTCCTCCATTGTGTGGGTTCTGGGAATCAAATTTTTGTTTCCTCTAAATTTACATATTCCATTGTTCATGAGCCTTCCAGAACTGATGCACACTTTATTATATATTAGTTAGATATGTGCCTCTTGCCTCCTTTGCCAAGTTTCTTCATAGTAGAGATGAAGCTTGTATCTCTCCTACATGGTGTGTGCACATAGTAGGTGCTCTAGAAGCTGACTGTGTAGATATTAATGCAATGTGTTAATTCCATAAACCACTAAAAACAAGTTTAGAAAAAGTGTGAGACTACAACCCAGAAGCCTGTGTATAGATGTATTAGTGACTTTTTATTCCTTTCCACCTAGAGGGAATTTGTATGAATATTGAGGCACATCATGGAGTAGCTAAAGACTTATTTACTGTAGCTATAACACTTAAAAGTTGAGATTTGCAAAGGCAGGAACTGCCAAAATGGTATCTTTTGTTATGGCCCCTGATATTGCTAAGGACATAGCTAGTTTACAGCAAAGACTTATAGAGTGAGTGTGTTTGGAAGGATGGATGGAGGGAGGGAGGGAGGGATAGAGGGATGGATGGAGGGATGGTGGGTGGATGGATGGATGGAGGGATAGATGGAGGAATGGTGGGTAGTTGGAGGGAAGGAGGGAGGGAGGGGATGATGGATGGATGGAGGGATAGATGGAGGAATGGTGGGGGGAGGGAGGGAGGGGATGATGGATAGATGGATGGATGAGGGAGGGATAGATGGATGGAGGGATGGATAGAGGGATGGAGGGATAGATGGAGGGGAGGGAGGGAGAGATAGATGGAGGGATGGTGGGTGTATGGAGGGAGAGAGAGATGGAGGGAGGGGATGGAGGGATGGAGAGATAATTGGTGGATGGAGGGAGGGAGGGAGGGAGGGATGGAGGGAGGGATAGATGGATGGAGGGATGGTGGGTGGATGGAGGGAGGGAGGGAGGGGATAGATGGATAGATGGAGGGAGGGAAGGATAGATGGATAGAGGGAGGGATAGATGGATGGAGGGAAGGAGGGAGGGATAGATGGATGGAAGAAGGGATAGATGGATGGAGGGAGGGATGGATGGTGGGTAGATGTTCCTGACTTAGCATGAACTGAAGACACACTGATACACTTAGTCTGTTTCAGCACCCTTCTCTCTGGGCTTTACACAACAAAGCTAGGACAGAGAGCAGCAGCCCAGTCAGCCCTAGTGGTAGTTTGGTGAGCCCCTTCCTTAATGATACTACTCGCTGCCATTAACAGCCAACAGCATGGGAAGGTAGCAAGAGGAACTGGGACAGGATGCTGTTACTGCGTGTGTTTCTGATAACTCTCTGCTTATACTCCTAGGCCCGGGTAATGGCAACTATTGGCGTAACAAGGGGACTTGGGGACCACGACCTGAAGGTTCATGACTCCAACATCTACATAAAACCATTCCTGTCTTCAGCTCCAGAGGTACCATGTGATGTTTTTGTTTATGTTTAGTATGACAAAATATTTTGTGCATTATTCTTTCCCTGACCTTCACCACACATCCACACAGTCGGCAGTGTGGCTTACGTGGACTCACATCTCTCGTGCCACCCTGTTCTCCCTTGACTTCCTGGATTCATACCCTCATCACCTCCTTCAACTACTCCCCCAATTGCCATTCCAGGCCTGCCATTTGATACAGCTTTCTAATCAGATCTTTGTTCCCTGCACAAACCAAGTGAACTCAGTTACTGCACATGACCTTCAGTTTCTCACGCCTGTTTACACCCAGTCCTGCCAAGAATTCCCTGATCCTCATCCACAGCAACTAGTTCTCCCTGTGGTGTAGCTCAAATGTATCGCCTAAGCAGGTGGTTCTCAACCTGTGGATCTTGATCCCTTTTGGCAAACCTCTGTCTCCCAAAATATCTGCATCGTGATTCATAACTAGCAAGATTACAGTTATGAAATAGAAGCGAAAATAATTTTATGGTTGAGAATCACCACAATATGAGGAACTGTATTAAAGAGTCTCAGCATTGGGAAGATTAAGAATGTCCTAAGGGGACATCCTGATTTCTGTCCCTTAAACAGAAGTGTTATTTTTGTCTACTCTTCATACACACAGGGAAGAATTTCTGAGGCATTTCTTCTCAATGTCTTGTAGCTCAGCTATTCACCTATGTACCACCTCTCACTTGGTTTTATTTAACCAGAGAACTTGTGTCATTCAAATGTTGTTTGGCATATTTAAGTTAAAAATATATCTGTCATTTTGTCTGTTAAAATCACGCACTATTTCCTACAATACTGGAAATACTATAAGGTTGTATGTTGGCTTTCATGTGTATTATTTAGAAAAGATTTTTGTTTCCATGTTAAAGAAAAGTGTAATAATAATGAAAATCTAACAGTAGGTGACACGCACGTGTGATCCTAGCTCTTAGGTGGAAGCATGGAGGCCACAGAATGTTCGAGTCAGCCTGGCCTACAGGCAGGCTCTCAGCCAGTCAGGACGACATGGGGAGACTGTCTCAAAGAACAAATGAAGTGGGGCATACTGGTGCCCACCTTTAATGCCAGCACTTGGGAGGCAAAGGCAAGTGGATCTGTCAGTTTGAGGCCAGCCTGGTCTATATAGTTAGTTTCAAGCTAGCAAGACTACATAGTAAGACCCTGTTGGAGAAAAAATAAAAGAACCCAGATGGGCTAATGGTTTAGAGATGGGTTTTTCTTGCACAGTAAGAAGGCTGGACTTTGTTCTGGGGCCACATCTTTGCATTTCTCTGGCTTTTCTCTCAGTGGTTACTGGGTGAAGGCAATTGCTCCAAGCATTTTAGGTTTTCTTTGTTGTTTTTTTTTTTTTGTTTTTTTTGTTGTTTTTTTTTTTTGTTGTTGTTGTTGTTGTTGTATGTTTTTTGAGTTCGCTTTGTTTTTGGTTTGGTTTGGTTTGGTTTTTTCCTTTTCAAAAAATACATTCTCTGAGAATTTCATACATGTACACAATATATTTTAATCACTTATCCTCAATACCCCCAGGTCCTCTTCCTACACTATGTCCCCCTCTTCACTTCATGCCCTCCTCTTTTCTTTCTTTCCATTTTTTCAACTAGTTAATGTTGCCCATATCTGCAGGGGTGCCCATCCACAAGGATGAACAGCATCCTGAAGACCATACCCCTAAAGCAAAACAGCTTTCCCTCTCCCAGCAGCCATCAGCTGCCAAGAGCTCTTCAGGTAAGGGTGGGGCCTCACAGGTTCCTCCCACAATTAAGGAGGAAAAGTGGGGAAACAGGCTCCATCCCTACAGATCCTCACTTCAATCACATTGGTTAAAACAGTGTCACTCTTCTAGCTGCAGAAGAGGTTGGGGGAGAACTTTACTTCTTAATTTCTGTGGCAGAGAAGAGCAAGTCAGACACCATACTTGCTTGTCATACTGTGAAAAACGAACTGAGCTGTTAAAGCCCCGTGTGAATACTGGAAACGTCCAGAATGTGTAACCATAGCCCCAGATGCATGTTCTGCCCAAGAGTAGGCGCTGGGATTAGGGGAAAGTTACATATTGGAGGTGGCAGTTCATTGCATGCTCTACCACTGAGACGCACACGTATGTGGGAGTGATGCGCACATGCGTGTGTGCACACACATACACACACGCGCGCGCGCACACATGCCTAGTGTGGGATGGGGAAGGGAACTTGAGACAGGATCTTGTGTTGCCCAGGTTGGTTTCAAATTCACAGTCCTCCAGTCTTGGCTTCCCAAGCAGCTAAAACTATAGGTGTGACCCTGTACCCTGCTCACTGTAGCTCATTTTCATCATGGGAAATACAAATTCACTCAGAGTAACCCCCAAAAGGGAGGTGTTTATAATTATATGGGAAGGCATACGTCTGGTGTCCACAGAATGACTGTTTGAATAACCAGGCTTTGTGAGAGTGCTCCTGGAATTGACAGCAGAGCCACCTCAACAAAACCTGGGAGAGGAGTTGAGCTCTTCTGGTAGGCGCATTCCTCATGTCCCAGGCAGCCCATCTCCACACCCACACATCTGAGTTGTGGAGAGGAGCTTTGATGTGCCCAACTTTCCTTTTATACAGGACTACAAGTGACGTTCAAGCCTGCTGTTTGCCCTTCACACCATGTGTCCACTCCATTATCCTGCATGGGCACAAACAGCCATCCAGGCCCAGTTCCTGGGCAGAACTCTAAACCAGGATAATTCCTTCTGAGAGTAGCAGAGTTGGATCTGGCCTGGAGATGTCTAGTGAACATTGGGCATATGAAGTTAGCCTAGTAAGAAGTGCGGAGGGGCCACATGCAGAACCTGCAGATGTTTTCTTTCTGAGCTCTCGAAGCAGTCCTGCATAGTAAGGACCTCAACTGGACAGAGTGACCAAAGCCCCCTGGAGTTCCTAATCCCTCCATGCTGGCCGATATTAGGAGCAGGAATTACAGATAAAACTGCTTCTCCCCAGAGGAAAGTAATAAATTCTGAACCCTGAACTCCATTTCCTTTGAACTGCACTGCGTACAGGGTCTGTAAGTGGGCTCATAAAACTGTGTGTTCTCCCTGGGGGTAGGGCTAGGGAGCATTCATCTAGCATGTTAAATGATACCCTCACCTGCCCTTTACAGAAGCCTCCCTGCAGATGCTCAGGAAACACTAATTAAGCATTTTTGCTCTTTCAGGCAGCATTAAAGAATCCTCCTCAGCCTCCCTCCCCATGCACACATGCAGACATGTTTTTATGTCCAGGGCAACGTGGCTCAGGGTGGCTTGAAGGATGGTCACTGCGGTCCAGCTGGATAGAACTTCCAGTTATTGTGCTGTCTTAGCCTGAGAAAACACTCTGAATAGGCTTTCAGAGTAGGAATCTGTGGGGCTGATTGTTGGCTACAGCCGTCACGCTGAGATTAGGTGTCCGAAATGTGTTTCTCCTGTTTTCCCGAAACTTTGTACTTTCAGAAGTCTCCCTGTGCCCCATCCAGCATACTTAGGATTCTACAGGCAGCATCTCCTTCCTAACAGAGCTCTGAGGTCAACACAGTTATTGTACCTATCCTGTACACTGGCCACTGAGACTCAAGAAGATAAGAGAACGCCTCAAGGTTGTACAACTGTCAATTAGCAAACTGGCGCTTCTAACACACACATCTGATTACAGGGTCACTGTGGTGAGAGCTGAGGTCAAGAAATATGTACACTCAGGCTCAGAGTGACTCACCACGCACTGGCTTGAGGGGCTCTGCAAAGGGCGCCTCTGTCGTGAGCACACACAGGATCCCTCAGCTGCCAGGGTTTCTCAGAGAAATACTGTTGGCCTCAGACTCCGCTGAAGATGATGGTGTGGTAGGAAGGGTAATTGGGAACGACAGTAATGGCCTCTGTGTGTACGTAAACCTAGGCCAGACAGAATTGTGTAAAATGTGATTGTGTGCCTACAATTTAGCTTAATGGATATGTAGTGTATATACCAAGATCTCTCGCACAAGATTAAATTTGTTAGACATTCTAAATGTTTCCAGATGGAGGGCCTGCCTCAGCCAGGGCCAGGAGAGGGGGTGGAGGGTACAGTTTGAATTGACTACTGTGGAGGTTAGAACAGAGAGAGAGAGAGAGAAAAAAAAAAAAGATATCCCCCAGCTCATCTCCATTTCTTAAGGCCAAAACCCTTTACTCAAGAGGATGGTGATAAAATCATACTCAAGAGAGAAATGGCTGGGAGGCTTCAGTTGGGGTTCCAGAAAAGCAGGCTAATGTATTTAAGCCATCTAATGAAGAATCACAGACTCCCTCCCCACAGGCAAGCACCCGCCCACACTCTCTGCGACCTCCTCTGAATACTTCCCTGCTGTGCTTTGACTCTGCCAAGCATGGATCTTTATTTCACATTTGGGTTCTAAATTTCAAATCCAGTTTACTCTGGTAGTTTTAAGGCTGGAGCTGGGGGGAGAAGGTGAAGAAATGTGATTTAATTCTAAGAAAAAAAGGCTCAAAAACCTTCTTGGAAATTACCATGGTTCCCATTCATCATTGTAGCTCCTAATTTGATTTGATGAATTAAATATAAATAAATCAAAACCATGTGTATCAAATTTATGTTTTTTAAAAAAATGCACAGGGGTTTAAGAATTAGAGAAGGGTTGCTTTCTAGCCAAACACATTTTCAGTTTTGCTGAGCACAAGGCCCTGGAAAAATCCTGAGTTTGCCAAACCTGAAGAGCAGGGGCCAGGTTTCCGGAGCCTCTCTCAGACCTTCTGGCCAAGACCTGAATTCCACAGGAGGCCCCGCCGAAGGGGCAGGGGTCTGCTAGCAGCAGGCTGCAGGGGTGTGTGGGAGACTTTCACTCTCTGGTCAACAGCACCCCGCTTTCTTTGTGTGACTGAGGGCCTGCAGCCCCTCCCCCAGCCATCACCAGCCAGGTGTGCCTCATGCCTAATTAGGAAGCTCAAGGCTCAGCATCCTGAAAAGTGC